AACACGATTTTGAAAGTTGAAAATCGATCTCGGAAGCGATTCCAGAATCAATTCCGACTCGCGTTCAGTAGACACGATTTTTAAAATCGATTCCAGAATGGACAAATAAAGTACGTGAGAAATGAGGCTCCCCGGGATGGAACATGAGGCCATACCTCGACTTCCTCGATTATCCGTGAATTCCGAAATTTACCTCTACTAAGGTTCGAACCTGAGACACCTGGATTACGGTATACAAGCTTATCCTACTGAGCTAGAATGACTACTTTGCGAAATAGCAGTTAGTAACTAGTAGTTACTGTTGAGCGGTTTACCTATGAACGAGTACCAGTGCTTGTCAGTAGGCTGTTTACCTACTGACCCGTTAGTAAGTGGTACCTGGTTGCCCAACCTCAGTACTGCGGTCCTCTAGAGTTGCTCTAGAGGATTGGAGGTGGTCGCTTCTAGGGTCCAGACCCGATATATTTTCACATGTCACATCCCGGGATCGAACCTCCGACCTCCCAGTTACTAGCTCAACAGTTGGGGCCCAACTCGCAAACCCTCTCGAGTCTGTTTGGCGACAAACGTCATATCCCTGCTGAGTATGACCTCTTTTCTTGCTGTATCGCCCCTCATAACCAGTTCGTAACTGGCAATTCTCCAAGGAGAGTTGTTTCTTCTGGACTCCACACGTTTCCCTTCTCGGCGCTCTTCTCTATGAAGCTTCTGTCACGCGCCACGAAATTTTCAGAACCACTCCGAGTGGTTCTGGAATCTGCGATTCTGGAAACGCTCTCAGAATCGCGCACCAGCTCCTTTGAACACGCTAAGAACCACTTCTGGAAACGTTTCTGGGGTCGTTTCCGGAGCTGGTTCTATCAACAGAAAATCCCAGAATCGTTTCTAGAAACGCTTCTCAAGTTTAGAATCGGTCTATTGAACAGGCGGTTAAGCTTCGCGAGGAGATGCGCTGCAAAACACAAATATCGATTAGTATGGCGCGCGCGTATGGCAACTGCACGTACGCGCAAGTTGAATTGTGGCTATTGTTCGTTGGTGGTTCATTAATTGACTCGATTGAGCTCAGTGCCATTCAGCATCAACCTTCTTTTCCCTCTCGTCCATGATGATCTCTCGAGTTGCCGTCCAGTATGCCCCCGTGGTTGCCACTCGAGCCGTAGCTGCCAGGTCGTTGGGTGAGTATCCTTGGCTTTACTCTCCACTTCACATAAGCTTCCTTTTAGGTCTAATGCGGATGTCCTCGGTGGCGTTCTCGAGCCCTGCATGTGCCAAGTTGAACAAGTCTCTCGGGTCTGAACTCCAACATGAGAAAGAATCGTAAGAAGGATCCTCATTACTTTTATGGAGTATTCTCATCAGTTACGAGCAACCCGCTATTTGCAAGCAATTCCTGGCCGATCAAACTTGGAAATTCGAAGAGGTTGAAGGTGATGTAAATATGAGCATCACCAGGCAGCTCCCGGGAGATAAGACCGCCGTCATTGAGTGGCAGCTTACCAGCCCTTTCAATGATGCTGGCTTCGATGGTATGGAAGGTGAGTCATTGTTCTCCTCAGTGGACGTTCGATGTCGATTCATAGGTGAAGATCCCCAAGCTGAGGAGAACATGGAACCAGCGGAGGCTACTGATTTCACTGTGACCATCGAGAATAAGGCTGGACAGGGTCTCATCTTCTACTGCAGTAAGCACCCTGGAAATTCTCTTCCTGTGTAATGGTGTGTTCAGGTACAGCAGCTGGGGAAGGTCATCGTTATGTGATTGGAAACTGCAGGGCGTTTACTTCGGTTGCTGAAAAGGAATCAGCGTCGAGCTATAACGGTCCCGAGTTCGAGGATCTTGATGACAACATGCAGGAGGCTTTCGATGAGTATCTTGCCGAGGTTGGTCTCACTGATGGGGTGTGTGACTTTATTGATGCTACGGCTCTTGATAAGGAACAGAGGGAGTACATGAGGTGGCTGTCCCAATTGAAAGCGGTAGGCCATCGAATTCGGTTTGTTTGAGTTATTCGTTGTGGTTCAGGTTGTTGGTGGTAACTAGAAGAGATTAGTGTTTCTGAGAATGATATAGGTTTATTTCAGTGATTTAAAAAGACGGGTTGAGTTTTAAGTTAATTTAGGAAGCATGAATAGATCTCGTCAAAGCTAGATCAGCTTGGTGTTGGTGAGGATGCAATCACACGTGATTGAGGGAAAGTTGTCACAATGATTAAAGAAAATAGTTTTCGGACTAGAGTGAAGTTGACGTTTGTGTTGATTAGAATCGGCTAAGGAAGATATTTGGTAGACTTGTTTACTGAGCAAAAGTGATGATTTATAAATGCAGTGGGAAGATATGTATGTGACTAAGTGTGTTGGTGTTAATTTCGAGGAGATTTCGGGAAATCATTATTGGCTTCTGTAAAGTTATACCCGAGTTCGTATGTAAACTTTCGAGGTGAGGTAAGCGAGCATCAAGTTCAATTAGGAGTTGAGTGAAAATTTCAGTATATTGTTAACTGAATTATTTCTATGATAGAGAATTAGTTACATATTAGATTTGACTATTGTAGTGTTATAAAATCACATTGAATACTACTGAATGTAGTATATTT